GTAGCTGTCAGATATTTGCAATATGTTCTTGAGTGCCTCTCTTCCTTTTCAAAATCCAGCTTGGCTATCAGGCATTTCTCACTCCGTGTAAAGTAAAAGCTTTTATTGCAAAACCTTCAGCATCAGTTTGCTTGCAAGAGAAATTAGTGCAATGCTCATATAGTTACTGCACTCCTTGACATCCGCTTGGGGATTGGAATAATCTAGTATATTTATATACTATCTAGTATACACGATCTAGTATTTTTTTCAAATTATACTATGGTGCTTCTGAGACAAATGAAGCAGAAAGACTGAAGCCTCAGAAGAAGGTTGAAATTAAAAACATGATTTGAAAATAAGATAAAGGGAGGAAGACAGAATGTAAATCCCTCTCTGGTAAAAGGCAATCAATGAGTCTGACCTTAAGCTAGTTTGGAACTATGATTTTCTTCCCTGTTTTGATTGCTGTCAATTATCAAACAAAAGACTGATTTTCTTCCCTGCCTTGATTGCTGTCAATTATCAAACAAAAGACATACATCTTACAAAGCTTAGGAAGGCACAGCAGTAAAACCTTTGTAAGGCAACACACAAGTATGGTCTTGCACAAATTAAATACACTATTGTTGTCTCATCAGCCAGAATCCTATGATCAATTTATGCTTGAATAGGGAAAAACAATTTGGTGACAAATTGCTGCTCCTTAATGAGGGGCTGATTGCACTCCTGGAGGTACATCAAATAGACAGAATGCTTTTCTTCTCTTCTCTTCTTACCTTCACAGTTTGCCTACAGGTATGTTCTCCATAAATGTTGATTTCTTATTTGAGATCTGGGCTTACCACTATTTGGAACAAAACTAAGGCTTCTGGGGTGGGCTCAAGAGGACTTCTATAGGTATTTCATTTGATTTTCTCCAATAACTGAGGGGCTGATTAGCTGAACATACCTATTTAACACCAACACAGCTCAATTTCAGACATACTATTAACATCCATGGCTCACAGATACCGACCTTGTATCTTGTAATGTGAGGGGCACAGTGGGGGGAATGGCAACTTTGATTTTATGGGAACTGTAATGTGAGGGACACAGGGGGAATGGCAACTTTGATTTTATGGGAATAATGAGTCCACTCCCAAGTTTCAGCTGGAACCTCTAGCGGAGCTATCCGAGATGCAGAATCTCTTTTTTGGATAGGGTTCTGTACCTTGGATAGCTCTAAAGTTCAGACTGAAATATTCTTCTGTATATCACAACATTCAGACACAAATAAACTTGCCATCCTACCTGCCTATTAGGGGCCTCTGCTAGCAAGCTTCCAAGATATTGATTCAATTTCAAAACAAGGTTGCATGCCTTGTTTTAAAACAGAAGAGATTGTTTCAAAGATGATTTGGCATTTTTGCTGTAGCATTTCAGAGGTACGGCAACAACTATAAAGGGGAAGAGGATAAATCTAAATGTATTTAAGTAACATATGAATAATAATAGCTCCATGGTTTAGGTATCTGGGTGTGGAACCAGAGGTTGGGAGTTCAATTCCCTTTTGTGCCTCCTTGCCTGGGCCCAGACTCAATAATCAACATAATCTCTTCCCACTCTGCAGTTCTAAGATGATGATGATTACACTGGGGCAATTTCACCACTGCAGCAACAAATCTGGCAACAGACCCTGGGGGCATAACAAATGTGGTATGCATATGTCATGTTCCGCCTGTTCCTTGGTTGTTTCGCCAAGCAAAGGGCACAAGCTATGTGTCATGTGTCGCTGCCACCAGTTGATTAAATCAACATTGTTTATTATTACAGGTGATGAAGGTACAATCAAAGTCGTTAACTCTTAACAAATCATCCTACTTCATCCACTCTCGCCCTCTACTCCAAACTCCAAAATTCCAATTCTCCTTCTTCCCCCTCCTGCAGAGACTCTTATATCTGGTACCTCCCCCTCTCCGGCACTCTCATTGGTACATGCAGATAGCCCATTCATATTCATGACCTGGGCGGACGTCACAGCATGTAACATGTTGGCTGTCCCCTACTTTACATGAACACCTCCTTCATAATTGTTATAGTACCAGTTCTATGCACCTGTATACACATCCAGTGTTATACACCTGTATCAGAGCATATACCTTTTACATGAGGTGACCTCAGGATTCTGCTATGCCATTGCTCCAGCAGAAAGGCAAGCTTTGAAGTAAATGAAATATGTTCAACTGAGATAAGAAAGCTTATTATCATTGCCTTCTCATCCTTATGGCCAGCTTTGTTTGTAATGTAGAATTAAATGTCATTGAAAGTATTAGTATTTAAGTTAAGCAAAAGCAATTTAGCTGAAGCAGGGCTTTTCACTATATGCAGACTGGCCAGCTTTAATAGTCAGTTTCATTCACACATCTAGTTCCTGATAGGCTACTGGTTCACAGGTGCCAGTGTCTAGGGATGTGCGCTCAGATCCAGAAATATTCAGAATTCTTCCAAATATATCTGAATTTGAATTTGATTTTCCTGATATTGTAGCAATAATTTCTAATCAGAGTCCTGTTTACTGAAAGCCAAAGGCTTGTTTTCTGCTTGTTAGAGCAATGGTCCCCAACCTTTTCTGAACCACAGACCAGTGGGGGGGGCAGGGTCCCCCCCCCCGTGCTTGTGGGACGCACTTGCAGAGAGAAGGGGCACATTCGCGCTCATGCGTGGAGGGGAGGGATGCGCTTGTGAGCATGCATGGAGAGGAGCATGCTTGTGGAGGGGAGGGGCACCTGTGCATGCAGGTAGGGTGCGGGGGGAGTGTGTGTGTGGGGGAAGAGATCTTTCTCCATGGCCTCGTCCTACCATGGCCACAGACCAGCACAGGGCCAGAGACTGGGGGTTGAGGACCCCTCTGTTAGAAGATGAAGTGAAAGCGAAACCTATTTCTCAGACATCCTGAGACACTCTGACACCAAAGGTAGTGGGGGCAGAGAACTCACTGTCTCCTGATTGGGGTTGCCATGGGTTTCCTGAGGGGGGCTGGGGTGTGAGCAAAAACTGTAAATGAGTTCTGTCTGCACCAATGAAATCTAGCAGCAGTCACAGACACCAGAAGGTGTTTTTTTTCCAGATTGGTTCTTTCCAATTAAAAGGTGGGCATACCTGATTAAAAATCCCCCAAGCATATGCCTCTCTCTCCCTGTAAGGACACTGGTGAGAGGTAGAGGCATCAACACTGTACCTGTTTTCTCTGTGTCCTTTTCTGAACCCACAACTTAAACTTATATTCTCTTATCTCATTGTGTATTATTAACTTAATATAGTTTGGAATAAGATTTAGGATTAGTAGATTCATAGATTAATATAAACCAACAGAGAAAATATATTAGGCTTAGGCCCCTTTGGAGTATACCAGCCAGGGGAATAAGGTTTTGTTATATATAAACAGCTATATTAATAGATTTACATCAATGTGTGCATGCGTGTGTTTTTCATTGGAAGAGTTTTTCATTGGAATCAAATACTGTTCTCCTTTGGGTCGAGTCTACAGGCAGTATGAAACATTAGTATGGTAGAATTAGCCATTGAGGAAGGCTGCAGGATTGCTGCCTGCAACCACTGCAGCAGCTTCTACGGTGACGGGTGGAAGGAGGAGAGGAAAAAGACAGTTTACGACAGCTATTATGAGCTCCATAAACAAAATCTATCATCCAGCTGCCTAGTTCATTAATAGAGCAGGAGGCGTGTGTGTGTGTGTGTGTGTGTGTGTGTTTGTGTGTGTGTGTGTGTGTGAAGTACAAGCATGCGCAAGGACATAGTGGAGAAACGTCCGGTCCTAGGTTGGACAGATACGAGTGACCTTCAGACATGTTCCAGTGATGTCTTTGTGCAATCCAGCCAGAAAAAAGTGCCGAAAAAGATGGTGAAGGCACTTTTCTCCCAAAGACCCTATGTGCCAGAGAAAGGCAAGGACTCAGGCTGACACTGTCAGCTTGGGCAGCGACAGTGCTGCTGCTTTGTAGTTGGGAAAAATACTGCCTTCCATATCCATACCATGTTTACCCCCAGCCTCCATTCCTAGCAAATCTCTCCTGTGCATTGCGGTTGGTGGGCACTCTCCAATAGTAGCATGCTCAACCATCTGAAGACTTAGCACAGGGCATTACTGCTGGCAAATGAAATGGGTACTGTGGGGGCAAATGGCTTCCTTATTGTGAAGCAGAAGTCATCAGGGGGCAGAAGTTGGATCACCAGCAGAGGTAAGAAGGAAGGTAGATGGACAAATAGCAAGATGCGGGAAACAGCAAATGCCAGACCCAACATTTCAAGAATTTTCAGGCTACCCTGGAGGAGCTTGGAAGGGTGCTGGAAAAAGCCTTTTGCAAACATAAAAATGCCAAGATTACTCGACTCCAAGAGATGATACCCCTGGATGACCAGCCATTCTCTCTGGTAGAGAAAACTGCTTTCCATAGATTTGTGGGAGAATTCATACCCCATTGCCAAGTACCATCCCCAATGACCCTTAGCTGCAGAGTAGTGGCAGATTTATATTGGGGTGTCAGGCAGGTGGTACAGCAGCAGTGGATGGTGGATTCCATAGAAGGAGAACAGCATTTTTTCCAGCCTGAAGTACTGGCCCTGGCCAGCAAGCTAAAGGACCTGATCCACTGGAGTGATTTTAAATCAAACCGGTGTTTTTGGATTTTTAAAAAAATGCTTTTAAGGGGAAAAAGCTGTTTAGCTAATATAGATCATGACCGTTCAAAGCCCAGCTATGTCAGGGACTTTCAGTGTTACATGAACCACTCTTCTGTTTAGCTCACCAACTGAAAAATGAAATGAATAACATATCCTTAAACGGTTGTGAAGAAGAAAAGCAGAATATGATTGTGGAAATAGGTGAGCGGTATAAATTATCTCAGCATATACAAACTGAATATGAAATTCCCTTCATCCACCCAAAAAGCAATCTTAAGAGAATGAAGTGTTTCTCTGAAAAATCTAACCCACAAATCAGATACCAAACAACTGCATTTTAAATTAACATATTTTACTGTCTCAGTCACAGCAACCTCATACAGTAGGATACACATAAAAATATATTTACCATGTTATCACTTGCAATTTAACACTGTTGTACTATAGTTATTCCATGACATGTATGTACAGAGGACTTGTTTTTTGTTTTTAAAGCAATATAGTTAGTCCCTGCTAGGTTCACTGTATAAATTACGTGGCATCACAGTTTTTCTTCATTAGTGTCATGTGAGTTGCAATATGGAACCCAAACAAGCATGTACTAGACATTATACAGTATAGCAGCCAAATAAAAACAGGCATGATGCTTTAAGATTGAACAGAAACAGAACAAATCAAAAGACTTCTTAGAAAGAGTAAAATAGGTTTAAATTTGGCATTATATATACATTATATCTACAGGTACAGTAATATATACTGAATAAAAAATTCCATCTAAGATGTTCAGAAATCTCAGTCAATCATTGAAACAATGATTTCCACTAACCTTCTCGGTCAGCAAGGTAATACTTGTTCGCAAAAAAAAAAAATAGAAACTGAATGCAATATGCCAATGCAATAATCAAACTCCTCCTTTTCTTGACTATAGTTTCTTTCAATTTATTATGAAAAAAAATAGTTTGAAACTCTACAATTAATATTTGTTCATGATATTATTTCAATAAATTTACAGGCATCTATTAAATCCTGTTGTGCTCTGGCCCACCACTGCAACCCGCTTTTAGTGTGATCACCAGGCATTCATAAGCTTGTGGCTTAAAAGGTGAAAGGATTACAATTTTTATCTAATGTCTATATCCTTATAAATATACACTTATGTGATTGATTGTGATCTCCCACAAGGTTTGGAATGCAATGCTAAGGCATAATAATTTGATATAAAAGATGAATAATGAAGGGATACGTACTCTGTTATCTTTTGGGGTAAAAACAAATTCCGTATTTGGACTCTCTCCTGAAACTGAGAAAGTTTACTTCACAGGGAAAAGCAAACCCTGTATTTTTAATTGTCACCACTCAGCAATGTTATAGATGTGTAGTGGGGCACTTTATGGAACAAAAAAAATGGAGAAAAAGCATATGTGTGTGACCAAGTCTTCGTAGTCTTGTTGCAGCTAAAGTCATCACTCCTGAAAGGTCTTCACTGGTATTTAGAAGGGAAGGGGGATACTCTGTGCCTAACTGTAACTTACTCCAAAAGCAGAATTTAAAACCAGCAGGAAGCAATAAAGAGGCAAGTAAGTCTGAATGACACCTGTCTTTAACAGTTATCCTAAGCTGTGTGAGAAACACAGTAGAAAGGGGGAAAACACTTGGAAAAAATAACCCAAAGATTTCAGTTACATGATCTTACCCTTTTTTAAAAAATACACAACGTAATGAATATATTTATTAAAAAATAGACCGCTTCAAAATCACCTATTTACAGTAGAAAGAACAAGATCTGATACATGTGCAACAGTTGGCTCATCCAATCATTAGGGAAAACAGCACTGCAGGCATAAGGTAACACATACAGTTTCACTCCCTTAAAAATATTAGAACAGTAAAAAATAATAATAATCCAAGTAGGCTATATTGGAAACACAGGAAAATAACACTCCACTCAGAATTCAATTTTATATTTTTGAGAGAAATCTGGGAATTAATGATAGGAACAAAGAGATAGGAGAATGAAACAGTGGTGATTTGGTGCACAGTGGTGATTTGGAGTTTTGGATACATATCTAATTTATTTCTTTTTCTTCTTTTTTTGAGAAAAATAAGTCATTGTTTTTAGCAAAAACAAGGTAACAGAACTATTGTGCAAGCTATCCAAAGATACAGTTTCACAATTCACTGAAAATAGTGTTCTTGGTTCCTTATGTTTTTAGTTACTGGTCTGTTATGTGGATGAGACGGTGACAGCAATGAAACACAGACATGTGGTATCTTTTGGAGAAGAAATGGAGCAGTTAAGAGTCACCTAAAAGAGGAGAAGCAGCAGCAACTATTATACAGACAACATTTGTAAAATCACATCATCAAGGACTGGCACACGTGTTACAATGTATTTGTCTAGTACTAGGGCATGTCTACTTTTTTCCTCCTAAGAGGCTAGTAGGATGATTCTTCTCACCAGGAACATCAGCAAGTTTGCGATTTTAGCCCTTTTGTCCCAAAATGCAGAATTTTCAAACAAGAAAAAAAAAGTATCTATCTGTAAACCAGGTGTGACAGCTGGTTTGATTTATAATTTAACTGGTTATTTGGCAGGAACCTGTGAAGCTCACTTTTTCGACAGCAGGGATCATAATAGTAAGCACTGAGACAAGTATCACAGGAAACCTTTGAACAGAAAGTGCATGTGTTTGTAGCTCCTGAACGATTGCAAAAGCCACAGCGTGAAGAGCTTGAAGGCTTAGATTTTGAACTGAACTGAGACGCTCGCTCTTGTGTCTGTAACATATATTGAGGTTTTTCTCTTACAGCAGATCCAGATGACATGCCTTCACTTGAAAGAGATTTCAGAGAATAGTTGCTCTGTTTTACTGCTGGATACTCCTGCCTGCAGATAAGCATGTTGTCACACTTTTGGCAAATGGAGGTGCCACAAGATAATCCACAGTTTTGGCACTTAAGGGAAGTGGTTTCTTTGGCTAGATGTGTACGTTTATAAGCTGGGTTGGCATCATTTCTTAGCAGCCATATATCGTGTTTTGTGGATTCCTGTCGTTTAAACATACTTCTGGAATCAGGATCAGTATACAAATCTAATTCATCTTGAGGTGAATAATAAGTGCCATATGGAATTCCTGTTCTTAATATGCCATTGGCATGGGCTGGAACTGGTAAATATTCATCAGAGCATCCATGTGAATTTGACATGGCAAGGAGAGATGGTGATGAACGAATTATTTCATCTTTCATGTCATCTTCTGTATCAACCAAAATGGGTTCTTTTCTGAGACTTAATGATGATATCAAGTGTGGCTTCTTATTGTCCAAGTAGTTATCATAAGTGTCCACTGACTTAGAAGGTTTGCTAACTTTGGGCTTGAAATAATCTTTACAGCCTCTCTCACTAGCAGATTTCTGAAGTACCATTCTTGACATGGAAGTGTTTAGATTTTCCTTGCATTCTGCACGACGTTTCAAGGCATCTGAACAGCCTCGGACATCATCATTGCTATTTTTTCTCTCCTTTACAATGTCAAGTTCCGAATAACCTTTGTCTTTTACTTGCAAATGAATCTCAATCAGCTGTTCACACTCTATTTTGGCCAAGAAAAGTTCAAATGATACCATCTTCACCTGGAGAGTGTCAACCAATTCTTTAAGTTTATACATAGTTCCTAGTTCTTGAACATATCCCATTGAGTTCAATATGTGCCTTATATCCTCATCAGATACTGTAGATTTCACATAATAAACAAAGGGTCCTGTGTAAGTCTGAAGATACAGAAGAGAAAGAAAGGAAATGTAAACATAACTCAGACACAGTTTTGAATCATCTTACATGGTACAAGGCAGAGATGGGAGTATTCATATACAACTACGAATATCCCCATATAGGTGGAAATAATGAGGGTCTGGCCCCATGGGGCTGGACTGTCCACTCACAATTTTGCCACTGTTGCTGGCTCTGCAGCAACTTCCTATCATGCTGTTCTCTGCAATGGATTAGCCACTCTCTGACCTAGGAGAGAGACTGGTCATCCCACCAGGACTGGTTAATCAACTGTGGACAACAGCGCAATAGGAAGGCACCGTGGAGGGGGTCACAGGAGGGGGCATACAGTATATAACAGCAAAGGGTTTTGGTCCAACACAAAATAATCCCACAAACCACTTGTGCTTCCTACACCAAACTGATTTCAATCAAACTATATTACCACAGTAAATTTCATCACCACTTGGTCTCTAATCGAGTTTTTACAATTCTATATGCTTTGGTAGATACTAAACAGTGTTACTAGGTTTCAGCTCCAAAGAAAGACTCCAAAAAGTTTTGCAATTTTACTTTTTCCATTTTACACAAAGTACAATTTGTTTTTATCTACAAAGGAGTATCACAGACACTCTTGGAGGAAAACAAGCTTATGTTCAAGGGACACAAAGATGCCAAGAGTTTGTACATTTGAGAAATATAGAGAGAAGTGTAATTATCAGAATATAATGCATGCCTTATTAAAGTCTCAATCAGTGAAACTATAAAGGTGTATGATGGAAACTGCAGTAATGTTTCAGAGTCAACATACACGATTATTAGAATCTCAATCCATAACACATGTACTCACCAGAACTCTGGTTTGTTTAAAAGACTGGAAAATACTTTAAAATTCATACTGAGAAAGCAAGTTCTGATATAAGGGATGGAAAACAACATATACATCAGCTTATATTTGGGAGAGGAGGAAGTAGATTTTGAAAGACCAGCAGTCATTAGATTACATATACTTCACATTCTAGAAGGCCAACATTAAGATTGTAAGAATGGGATTGTGTGCATGGGATTTTTCGAGCTACACAGTAGCTGTCCTTTAGAGTTTTGTCTGTAAAAATATCACCCGTTAACAAGCTATTGAGAACTGAATTCAGTGTAGAATAAATGCCACATTTATTAAGAAACTTCAGGGATACCAAGCCACTTTCACTAAAAATCCAAATGTCATCTTTTTTGCTATTATTTACTTTAAAAGTAAACACACACACACATTATGGCATAACCATTTTTTGTATTTTATTGGTACATCTTAAAAGACAATATGTACCTTCAACAAATAACCTAGCCTTACTTTCATAAAATATTTTACTGGAGGTATTGCAGGCCAAGCCCAAACATTTGTTCAACTTACTTTTTCCTTCTCATTTTACATTTTAACTGGGGCTTTTATTTTCCTCCTTAGATTAGATATAATGTTAGAAAAATAAATGATTTTTTCCCCATTTGGAATAGGGAGGCTCTGTTAGGCGACTGCTAGAAAAATAATAACAAAAGTGTACAAAAGAAATTGATAAGGCTGAATACCAATATTGGGTTACAGTGACTAATGTTTAGGTTATATTTCAACTCAGTTCTGAAGATTTTTGGATGGTATCAAGTAATTTCTCAATCTCATATATAGAGATCTTGCAAGGAAAAAATGCTGTTCCAAGCCCCCAATGTTATGTCAGATTGAAACACAAAGAAAATCTCCCTTAAACTGAAATTTCAGAGGAAAGGTTAATTGTACCTCAAATTACCAAAACAGCTGATCGGAACTATATTTAGAAGCACTGCAGTGATACCCCAGCATAAATGCCAAAGAGGCACTGAAAATCCAGCTCTGATGTTCTAAGATGATGATGATGATGGAGGAATTAGTTCCGTTTCCTCAAAATTATGAACATTTTATATCGCTGTCAAGTGTGAAGGAGCTAAATACAGTGGTGCCTCGCATAACGATGTTAATTGGTTCCAGAAAAAAAACGTTATGTGAAAACATCATTATGTGAAGCACCATTTCCCATAGGAATGCATTGAAAACCGGTTAATCCGTTCCAATTGGAACGGATTATCCGGTTTTCTCTCTCCC